AGCCCGGACCGCTGCGTGGGATGCGCAGTCTCCAGGGGCCCGAGCAGGGCGACATCCGCAGGGCGGACGCGCACTCCCATACCCCTCCCGAGGCCAGACCTCGCGGTTCCTCTTCCCCTTCCCCGCTGACAGCGAGACGTGGACAGGCGCCGCGTAGATCCGGTGGAGGCTCCCAAATTGTTGCCAGTCATCTGGCGGGGCCCCTGCCCCCTTCCTGCCGCCCCGCGCTGGGAAGAGCACCCCCTTTCCCTGGGCCCTCTGCCAGCCTGAGTTGCTGGGAAAGGCAGGCATGTAGCCAGCCGCGGGCAGAGCTGGAGACAGGCCGCCACTGGCCCCGGGAGGAGCGACGAGTCTGGTTTTAGTTCGGGATTTTTCGGACATCCTGCGCGGTCCTACCCGGCCCATCGCTCGGTGCTTTGATGTCTTGGGGTGGGGCCTAGCTCCAAAGGTGAGGATGGATGGTCAGGGCCTGTGGGCTGTCTTCTTGCCTCTGTCTGTTCGCCTTTGTCCCATCGGTTCATGGAGGCCAGACCCAAACGCACACTAGCTTTCCCAGCCTGACTCACAGGCCTCTGCTCCACTCCCACCTCCCAATATCTTTCTGCATTAGGGACCCCACAGGACCGCCAGGGAATGTTAGGGCGAGCTCCATTCCGTTTTACAGACAGAGCCCTAGAGCTTGCTTGTAAGAAAAGCCAGAATAACATTAGAACCTTGTCTCCCAAGTCCCCTTCCAGCGCTGTTTGCATGAAAACAGTGGTGTTCCCTGGGATTCCGGCTCAGGAGTTACCCTCTCAAAGAGGGTTTCCAGGCTAAATGGGTTTGTCAAAGGTGCTATCCCCCCTTCTCGGAGAGTCACTGGCACATCCAAGGCTCCGAGAAGTCCTGCCGTAAAACCAGGCAATAAGAAGGGTTTCTTGCCCCAGGGCCTGGATCAGATTTTGCCACTTAAGGTTCCCCTGCAGTCTTGGCTTTCGTTTCTTCCTAGGGGGCCCAACCCATTGGTCTTTTTGAAGACTTGGGGTGCTCCCTCTTTCCCAGGGACTTTCTCTAGCAGAGGGAGGGCCCAGCCCATGAGGGAAAATAACTGCTCCTTGACAGGCCAGGGAGAGGCCTGGGACCTGGTGGATCTGAACATTCCTTTACATCGTTTGGGAAATGAAGCCAAAGTTACCCAGATGGTTTCCCAGTCAAAGGGAATGACACCTGCAAGAGATCCTGGCTCTGCCTGTGACAGCGGTCACACTCACCGAGAGAGGAAAGCTCTCTGGCGCTGGGGTGGACAGCTGGCCCAGCCTCAGGAAGGTACGACACTTCTTTGTTTCCTGGAGGGGTCATGGGCCTTTGAATAAAAACACAGAACTCCTCTTTTTCTGAAAGTTAGAGGGTTTTATTCGGAGAGCAAGTTGGAGGGGTGGCATTAATAACCACATGTCCAAAGAATTGTGATAATTCAAACTTTTTGCTAAATCCTTCAAAGGTCTTCTCTTTGAAAAAAAAAAAAATTGCCGCTCTCTGGATTAGCAACTAGAATAGGGGAGGCCAGAGTGTGTCTTTGTGAGCGTGTTTGTAAGGCTTAGGTGGAGAGGCATTAGATTTCTCTGTTGTAGTTGTGAGGATCTGGGTGGGAGGGCACTTATGTAAGCTTTACTTGGTCACCATAGCATTTATCTAGCCCTCTGTGTGCCTGGCACTGCTCAAAGCACTAGATGTACAGGCAGTCCTCAGGTTACGTCGGAGATCCGTTCCTACGGCGCGACATAACTCGATTTTCACCGTAAGCCGGAACCCATCTACATAAGCACCTACGTCACTCACACGGAGCACATACACAGCAGTAATGAAGTGAAACATATATTTTATTGATTTTTTACAGAGAGGAAGGGAGAGGGATAGAGAGTTAGAAACATCGATGAGAGAGAAACATCGATCAGCTGCCTCCTGCACACCTCCTACTGGGGATGTGCCCACAACCAAGGTACATGCCCTTAACCGGAATCGAACCTGGGACCTTTCAGTCCGCAGGCTGACGCTCCATCCACTGAGCCAAACCAGTTAGGGCAGTAAAAAAAATTTAAAAGAAAGATAACAATTCCTGACCTTTACTTGTGGTAAATATATAATAAAAAAAATATAAAGCACATATGTACATACATCGAAATGACGGAACTTTTTTTTTTATAAATAAATGGGAGATGGCGACATAACCACGAAATGACGTAAGGTAAGTCGAGTCCGACGTAACCCGAGGACTGCCTGTATTCATTTCATCCTCTCAACAACCCTATTGAAGAGGGTTCTATTATTATTTCCTTACTAGAGGCCCAGTGCACGAAATTTGTGCATGGGTAGGGTCCTTGGCAGCTGGCAGCTGGCAGCTGGGGCCTCCCTTCCCCAGCTGCCGGCTGCTGGCCCGGCCTTCCTTCATTCCGTGCTGCCCCCTGGTGGTCAGTGCACGTCATAGCGAGCGGTTGAACTCCTGGTCGGTTGAACTCCCGAGGGGACACTTTGCATATTAGGCTTTTATATATATAGATTCCATATAAGGAAAATGAGTCCCAGAGAGGTTGAGTAACTTTCCCAGAGCATCCTAGGTGGAGCTAGGATTTGAACGCTGGCAGTTTGGCCTCTTCACGACCAGGCTTATGCTACATATAGTAAGGGGTCAATACATGTTAGATGCCGTTCACATGGTTATTTTAAAAATCACGTAAATTGTGATAAAATATACATAACAAAATTAACCATTTTTGAGTGGACAGTTCTGTGACACTAAGTACATCCACATTGTTGTCAACCTTCACAACCATCCATATCCAGAACTTCGTCTTGTAAAACTAAACTCTGTTCCTATTCGAATTGGTTATCTTTGTTTTCTCTCCTCTGGCAAATCCCAGACCACTGAGCCCTTCAGTGTCTCAGTTAGGCCGGCATGCTGCTGCCACACTCCGGGCAGGTTAACTGGTCCCTCAGCTCCCACCACTGGTGCCAGCCAGAGCCTGGGGGGGTGGGGGGAGTGGGGCTTCGCTGGGATACTTGGGAGTGCCTCGGAGACCCAGTGACGTTGGTTCTTCTGTTGCAGGTTTCTGTGTTGCAGGAGCCATGGAGATTCCCAGGGATCCGGGCCTGTGTCAACACGGTTTCACAGCGGGGGAGGGAAGGACCTCTGCCCAGCAGCTTTCTGTCAACACCATCCAGTGGAAAAACCAAGATGGGTGAAGATTCATTTCGCCTCAACATAAGAGAAATCCTGAGTGCTGTGACTTGGGCACAATATTCCAAACATCTGGAACTGAGCCCTGTGCCTCTGTACCCTAAGCAGCGGGTTTTGGCTCCAGCTTTTGTTCCTTTTGTCTTTTCTTAGACCACCATCTAAGTTGCATCCTCCGCTCAGATCCAGACCCCTGAGGATGCTGTCTTAGTCCCCCCAGCCCATGGTGCTCCGTCTGTGGTCCAGTGACCTTACTCAGGAGCAGATTTCTCCTTGGCCTTCATGGTACCTTATCCATCCAGATGTGCCTGAAATATTTCAATGCTCACTGGCTCTTCCAGATGTGCCTTGTGCTTGGCCTCTCGCTGCTTCTCCAGATGTGAGAAGGGTGTGTAATATGGCCCCACATCCTCCCCTCCCCCTTGAGGCCCTGTGCCATAGGAATGGCCACCTGATCTGGCCCAGAATGTTTGGATACTGGAGTCCATCTCTGGCTTCTCTCTCTGGACTCCAGGACTCAATCTAGCCCAAGACCACTGTGGGCTGCTCCCAGCCCAAAGCCTAGGACCACTTGCAGACCCAGGAGAGGATTTTTCCAGCGTTCTACAGTGGTCTAAAGAAAGGGTGGAAATGGGAGGCCTGAGGGCTGGTAGGGAGAGGGGACCAATGTGCCTCATTTAAGAGTCCAGTGGTGATTACTAATATGCTTTTATGAATAAAGTTTGGTTTGTCTGATCTTGTGTGTTTGTGTCTTCTCTCCTGGCCCCCAGCAGTAACCCTCTGTGCCAGGCCTCCTGCCTCCCTCCACGTTCTCATTACGCCACACTGCCCTATTGTTTGCCCTCCCGGGTTCCCTCTCTTGGGCAGGAAAGAAAAATGAGTTCACAAATTCTCAGTGCATTTGGGGCAAGGCACAGGAACCAGAGGGGAGCAAACTGCCGGTGTCTGTCCCTGACGGAAGCCAGAGGGAATTCTAGGGACCTTTCCCAGCTCTCAATAGGCCCTCCGATTGGGAAGCTTCATCGCCTGATGGGTAGACACAGAAAGGCCATGGTCATGGAGCCAGAAGGATCCTGTTGTGTAACCCCCTCATTTTACAGAAGGGGAGATGAAGCCCAGGATGGGGTGGCAACTTGCCTTAAGTCACAGAGTTGAGTAGGGGTCGAATGGGATCTCTTGGAGCCCAGGCTCTGGTTCTTTTGTGCAGAGCACTGTGCCTGCTCTGGTGTTGGCTCCTGGACACGCCCTACCTCTCTTCCCCCTGCTTCTAGCCACAGCTTGCTGACTCAGATGCCCTGGAAAGGGTGGGAGGGCAGTTAACAGGCTTCCTTGCTGGCTCTTCCCTCCTGTGCCCTGGGCCTGAAGTCTGCAGCCAGGACACAGGATTCTACTGACAGAGTTCAAAACACATTGAATAGCTCCAGGCAGGGATTTAATGCTGTGTGTGCTCCACACCCACTCTTTCAAAGCACCCTCCCAACATACAACACACACACACACACCCTCCTCTTTGTGGTTTGGGTTTCCAGGGTGGAGGAAAATACCACCAGCTTCCAAGGATCCTTCCTTACTCCTTTTTTCTCTCTGTGTCTATTTATGGATTTCACTCCAATGAAAAGTGGCCTCCCTCTCTGCAAAGGCTGTTAAGTTCTCTGCTCTATTTTGTCTCGGTGAAATATTTTGCCATTGAAAATGTGCTTCTACTTGCATTACCTTATATGATCTTGTCAACAGTCTTAGAAACTGGCACTGATGCTCCATTCAGTAGGGAAAGTGGAGCCCCATGGGGAGAAGGGCCGTATCCATGGTCACACAAGCAGCGGCAGGACCGGGGCTGGAAGATAGATGTTCTCACCTCCAGCTGCCAGCTGCTAAGCCCTGTGGTCCCCTGGCAGGCGCTGACATTTAGGTGGAGTTTGTTTTTCCCACCTGGAGAGCAGGTGTTCAGGAATGGTTAATCTGACATTTCCCGTTTAATGCTGGGGCACACTGAAATAGGATACTACTCCTCAGGGGCCTCATTGAGCCCATTTGAGTCTGAGGAATATAAAGAATTTGCTCATTTTATGTCCATTACTTTTCCTGCTTTTCTAGGGATGGGAGTGGGATCATTGATGGTGAGGAAGGAGGGTTAAAACATTAATATTTTCAGGGATATAAAGAAAGAGCAGGGATATAAGAGAGAAAGGTCTGGTTAACATTATGTTTTTATCATTTTGTTTGTTATGGAAGTGATGTGTAAAATAAATACCAGTATATACCCAGTATAATAGCGATATATACCCATTAAAAAGTTAAACTGTCCAGAGTATACAAAGTAAAAAGACAAGACACTTGATCATCCTAATCTCATGCCCTGGAGATAAACCACTGTTAACTCTCCTTCCTTAATTTTTATAACTAATCAAATGCACACACATTTCCCTAGGTACATTCAGATTCTTCTACAATGTTCTCTTATGACAAATCATAGTTCTAACCCTTTGGATATGTGTGATAAATACAATAATATACTTTACCCTTTCTAAATGTCCATATGAATAGTCAGGGACGGTAGGGATTTTGTGGCCTTTCCGGAACCATTCTAACTTTCTCACTTTGGTTAACTTCCTTGGCTGCTTCCGATAGGAATCAGAGTTAAACCCTTAAAATGCGAGCCCTTTTATACCGACGAGGCATAGAGGCTTCGGAGGTGAAGTGGCTTGCCCAGGTCGGTGCTCATCGTACCCCCCACAGCCAAGAGTAGTGAGGAAGGGAGGGAGCCTGGGCAGCACGAGGGCGTGAGCCACCACACCAACCTCACCAGCCTGTGGAAATGACAGTCTGGCTCCTACTCTGAAGGCCCCTTTGTTCACCCTGTTCCTGGATCCTTCCTTTGAACTGGGTGGCTGTTTGGGATCTTGCAGGCACCAAGGCTGAGAAGTTCCTTCCCCAGCACGGAGGTGAGGGGAGGCAAGTCCCTCTGGCTTCATACCTGCCTCTCCCTAGGGTGGGATGCCGGTTCTCCCTACTGCTATCGTCAGGAGTCCTAAAGGGGGCGCTCGGATGCCCGGGGGCCGTAAAGCACTTCTGAGTCAAGGCTGGGAAGAGGGGAGAAAGGGAACTAACTTCCTGCAGTGCCTGCGGTGAGCCAAGAACATGATGAATACCTTATGTAATATCTCTGATCATCCACACGAGCCCCTGAGGTTTTAAATGCCCCCATTTAACAGACGTGGAGACAGGCTCGGGCACTGCGTGACCAAAACAAGATTCAAACTCAGGGCTGTTACCACCACATGCTGTTTCTGAAGATTTCCCAGCAGATAAACAGTTTCTCCCAACTATCCAAAGTCTCCACCCCGACCTACGCTGGGCTTTGTGATAGTTATATCCTGAGCTAAGGCAGGAAGGGAAGACTGTAGAGAATGTTATTACAAATCTGAATTACATCAGCTTCTTTCTTCCCAGTTTATAATGAAATCGGATAGTTACCTTTATGTTTAATCAGCTCACTGTGCTGAGGTCATTCTCCTAGTCCCTGGAGACAGTCCCCCTTCTGTCTGCCAGATGTTAGAAGGACTTGCAAGACTACCCCTCCTCCCAACACTCCTCCCTCTCAAGGCCCAGGGCCATAGGTATGCACCCGACCTTTTGGGTCCCTAACCTCTCAGCGTGTCCTGTACTCTGATGTCTCTTCCTGTGTCCCCTAGGCCAGTGTCAACAGAGCCAGATATCAACAGTACAACGATTGAAATTTCTTTTGAGAGCCAAATTTTTTAAACTTAAACTATATAGGTAGGTACATTGTTATTAACTTAATTAGGGTACTCCTAAGGCTTAGGAAGAGCCACACTACAGGGGCCAAAGAGCCGCGTGTGCTGTGTGGCTCGTGAGCCGCAGTTTGCCGACCACAGCCCTAGGCAGTTAACATGACTGGCCCTAATTGTTGGGTGAGCTCACCCGGTGAGGTCAGAGGTGAGCCTAAATCTCTCCCTAGTTGTCTGGTGTTAGGCAGTTTACTGAAGCTCTTTGTGTCTCAGCTTCATCACCCACTAGATGGGGATCATGCTGGTACCTACCTCGCTGGGCTGTTGAAAGGGCTTGATGAGGCCATGCACATAGAGCAGAGAGCCTGGCGAGCGGAGCGTCAGTGCAGTTCAGCTCTCAGCAGCGCAACGCTGTTGGGAGGACTTCATGAGATAGTGTTTGTAAGACGCCGAGCCTGAGCTATAGCAAGTGCTCATCCTTGTTCATTCCTTTCTCTCCCGGCTCTCTCCCCACCTGGGGAATGACAGTCTCACCATGAACGGATCCCTCTACTGTTCTTTCTTGTATCTGGATTTGAGCTTTCTTGAAAAGATGGCACAGAAGTGTTAACAATTATTACCCACCTGAAGGTCGAACCTTCTTCTCTGTAGAATCCAAGAATCCAAGGTTCTTCTTACCCCTCCTTTTACTCCCTTTTGCAGCCCGCGGACTGTACCTCCTTTCAGCCTGGGAGAGCTCACTATTCATCTTGTTTCCTGGGGTTCCAGTCCATCTGGAGAGATGAACTGACCACAAGTTCTCGGATGTCAGTAGTGGACGTTCACAGACTCCCCTCATTACATGTTTGCAGGATCTTCCATGATTGCATTCAAACTAAAATTTGTCCAGGCACAGGGGGCATTTACAGGAACAGCTGTGTGCTTGGCTTCCCTAGCCGTTGCATATTTGAGCATTTCACAACATGTCTTTCCTCACTTCCCTGGTAAACTGTGTGATAGGTCACCTTTTCCTCCCAGCTGTCCCTAGGAACGGGTGAACTTGCTGGGTTTGTTTTTTTCTTTCCTTTTCTTTTTAATTTAAATTCTTTATTGTATTTATGTATTTAAAGTATTACATAAGTCTCCCTTTCCCCCATGGACCTCTCCCCGGTTGCTCCCATCCTCCAGCACACACCCTCACTCCTCTCTTGTCTGTGTCCATTGGTTATGCTCATAGGCATGCATATAAGTCCTTTGGTTGATCTCTTACCTCCCACCCCCCCCCTTCCCTCTTAGGTTGAACGGTCTGTTCGATGCTTCTGGCTCTATTTTTGTTCATCTGTTTATGTTGCTCATGATATTCCACAAATGAGTGAGATCATGTGATATTTATCTTTCTCTGACTGGCTTATTCACTTAGCATAATGCTTTCCAGGTCCATCCATGCTGTTGCAAACGGTAAGAGTTCCTTCTTATGAACATATGGGTGCATATATCCTTTCTGATTGGTGTTTCTGGTTTCTTGGGATATATTCCTAGAAGTGGGATCACAGGGTCAAATGGGAGTTCCATGTTTTGTTTTTTGAGGAAACTCCATACTGTCTTCCATAGTGGCTGCACCAGTCTGCATTCCCACCAGCAGTGCACAAGTGTTCCTTTTTCTCCACATCCTCTCCAGCACTTGTCGTTTGTTGATTTGTTGATGATAGCCATTCTGACAGGTGTGAGATGGTACCTCATTGTTGTTTTGATTTGCATCTCTCGGATGATTAGTGACTTTGAGCATGTTTTCATATGTCTCTTGGCTTTCTGAATGTCCTCTTTTGAAAGGTGTCTATTTAGATCCTTTGCCCATTTTTTGATTGGATTGTTTATCTTCCTTTTGTTAAGTTGTATGAGTTCCCTATAAATTTTGGAGATTAGGCCCTTATCAGATATGACATTAGCAAATATGTCTTCCCATGCAGTGGGTTTTCTCGTTGGATGTTTTTTCTTTTCCATTAAACTG